TGGGTGGAGTTCCGATCTGAGAGCACCTCTTCCATTATTCCCATCTCTCAACTCTTTCAGCACAAACCATGGCTCCAACATTAAATTTCCTAGTACTCTTTTTCTCCTTAACCTGTAGATTTTGTATTTCTTTCTGCCCCACTTGCACCTTTTCATTGTAGACTACCTAAGAATGATCACTAATATGACAGCCAATGTTAGGCTGCAATGAAATTACCTCTGCCTAGGAAATTGGTCCAGAAGTCTTCAATGTAGCCTTGGGCAGATCCTCAGGACAGGAGCAAAAACCAACCACATTCTTTGTCAAAATATCACAAGAATGGTCTCTAGCCAGTTGCTAATACCATTCTCCTCTGAAACCTCTTGAGCTGGGCTTCCACAGTTCACACAGCTATTAGCACTGTTGTCTTCCAAGCTCCTATCAGAGTAGCTCATTAATCCCTAATTACATTGTTAACCGCTTTCCTGGAACATGATCCCAAAGCCACCCACAATTTCCCAATAAACAGTATGGTCAGGCCTATCACAGCAATATCCCAGTCCCTGGTACCAACTTCTTAGTTACTTCTTTTGTTTGTTTGTTTGTTTGTTTGTTTTGGTTTTCAAGACAGGGTTTCTCTGTGTAGCCTTGGCTGTCCTGGACTTACTTGGTAGACCAGGCTAGCCTCAAATTCATAGAGATCTGCCTGCGTCTGTTTCCTAAGTGCTGGGATTAAAGGTGTGTACCACCACTGCCTGGCTTAGTTACTTTTCTATTGCTGTGACAAAACACCATGACCAAGGCAACTTAAAAATGAATGCACTTAATTGGCCTTGCTTATAGATTCAGAGGGTGAGTTCATGGCCATCGTGGTAGGGAACATGGCAACAGGCAGGCAGGCATGGTGCTGGAGCAGTAGCTGAGAGCTTATATTCTGAACCACAAGCAAGAGACAGAGAGTGAGCTAACTGTGAATGGTGTGGGTGTTAGAACTCTCAAAAATATAGCCCCTACTCCCAGTGACACACTTCCTCCAACAAGGCCACATTTCCTAATCCTTCCCAAACATTTTTACCAATTGGAGACTAAGCTTTCAAATATATGGGCCTATAAAGGGCTACTGTCATTCAAACCAACACAGAAGTTCATGAAGTACCTACCCTAAGCTGTCAGAGGCTACAAGTAGAATATCACAGATGATGGCTATACATTAAGGCAAGCGTAGAACCTGTCCTTCCCTCCCATCCAGGAACCAGGCAACCTAACTGTAAGCATATACAATGGGCTACTTATCACCTATAGCATGAACCCTTCCTCCCTCTGAGACCTGTGGGAGTGGACCCCTGCTTTGCCTCACACACAGAAACTCTCATCAGAGTCCCTGCCATGCTGGCTTTCTATGGCATTATTAACTCTCCTAACAAATCTCAAACCCAAAGAACAATCTGACTCAGTGAACTCTTCAGACTTTCACTGAGTGATTTCCCAACTTGGATTTGATTGCTTTCTCTCTGGTGAATAAAGTTTTCTTCATATTTTCATATGAAGTAAAAAATAATCCACCTAGACACATGTCTTATACTTTCCACAAAAATTCACTTGATGGACTACAGGCCTAAATGTAAAAATATAATAAAACTTCTAAAAAAGATATAAATGTAGTGGTCAAAATTCAACAAATATTTAATGTTTTATAACATGTGAATCAGATTCCACTAAAGTTGATTTAAAGGTCAACAAAATCTTACCAGTGTTTTGTTCTCTGTGGGGCAGTAGTTGACATGTTATGATTTTGCTGTTTAAAATTATAGTAATAAGACTATAATAGGCAGAAATAATATAGTTTGAGAATAAGCATAAGTCACTTGGAGTTCTACAAAGGGCCAATGCAGTTCTGCTACAGGCATGGATCTATATCCGGAGAGTACCTGCTGGGATTTCCAGATTGTGTCCTGGAACAAGCAATTGAACCAGTGATACACAGATAATGGTAGAAACAGAAAGAAATTTAAAAGTATTAAGAAAGCAAGCACTTTGAAGGAAGGAGCCTTGGAGGTGAGGAAGGTTAAACACTCAATGGCAGATGCAATACTTGGGACTTTTTCTGCCATGCTCTACTATATATCACCCTTGGTGGGAAGGGGTTTTAAGTCTTCTCTGTACTGGTTTCCTTCATATAATTTTGAAGATCCTGTTCTTCCACACTATTCTGTCAGAGCTCATTCATAGTAAACAGTTTGGGTGTCTTCACAAAAAGGTATCTCAATATCTATGCTGGTCTAGTCAGAAAAGTGAAGGCAAAATGAATTGTACTCAAAAAACTGTGTGGTTTGTTTTGTTTTCTTGAGATAGGGACTCTACGTAGTCTTTGCTTTCATAGAATTCAATATGAACAAGGCTGGCCTCAAACTCACAGACATCTGCCTGCCTCCCAAGTGCTAGGATTAAAGGCATGTGCCACCCTGACTGGCCCAACTACAATATTTGTATAGCTTGTTTTTCATTACTTTAATAAAATGTAAAACTTGAGACAGGCTAACTTATACAAAGAACTTACTGTGCGTCATGATCTTTGCCCAAGAGTCAGAACACACCTGGTGATAGCCATCTTGCTGACAGGGTAGTGAGGTGGCAGTAAGGTACCACATGACAACAGACAAGGAGAGGATGTTCGTATGTGTTCTGGTTTCTCTATCTACACAAAAATGGTACTGACCAACGGTGCCACTCTGACGACTGCATTCCATCTCAAACCCCTAAAAATGGACCCTCTGCACATAGCATTTGTATTGAATTTCCACAAGCTGAATACCTCCCGGGGAGAAAGGTCAAATTTCAACACATGACACCCCAGCAAGGTCACAATGAGCTTTAGAAGAATATAGGAAAGAATTTTCTATTTCCTTCTGAAGAAACCAATGAAGGACATAAGAGAGAGTTCCAGGGGAATGGGCCAAGATACTGAAAATACTTTGTTCCTAAGGATACAAGTGGAAAATGCTCTTTTGACGATATGGCCCTGAAGCTCAGTGCTATGTGTTTGGACTCTAGCATGGGTAAGAGGTCAAGTCTCATGACTAGCATGCAAGTATGATGGTGCAGCCATAGTAGCATGTAAGACTTACATAATTAGCCAATCTACATCTAGTAGTCATCTCAGACAAACAAAAACACTTGCAGCTGGGCAAGAATGCTTTAATGATAGCAAATGAGGGAAGACTTAAACATACATGCATAGGAAAATGAGTAACTGTATTCTCCCAGTATGGAATTCTTTCAGGAGGGAGAATGAAAAAAAGATTAATATAGTGATGCTCTTACAGGCAAGAGCAGAAAACTCAGACACAGAGCAAGGCCAAGAACAGACATCTAGATGTCTATGACGTCTAGAACAGGCAAAGCAACTTGTAATGTGAGAAATCAAGACAAGGGACAGCTTAGGGTTGCAGCAAGTGGCTGGGAGGAGCAGGGGCATTTACTGAGTGAAGAAAATAGTAAGATTACTAGGCAAACACATATGGCATAATGTGTGTAGCTACAACGACATGACCTATGGTTTAAATCTATAAATCATGCTTTGGCAAAACCTTGTCAACTTAGAATTACTATACATCATACACTGAGCTACACATATCTCCAAGAGCAAACCTTAAAAATATGGTACCAGAACTGCTGCAGGACAATATGCTTTTATTGAGAAACATGCCTATCACCCCAGTGAGAACACTGCCTGGCGAGGGAGGGGGGAAGTGAATTAAAGACCAGCTGGGACAACTTAGCCTCAAAATAAAAATAAGAGGAAGATGCAGTGATAGAGCACTTGCCTAGTGGGAGGCCTTAGAGTACATTCTGTCTCTCCCTTTCATTCTCCCTCTCTGACTTAGTCTCACTATGTAGTCCTGGATGGCCAAGCTGGACTAAAATTTACACAGATCCACCAGCCTCTATCCCCCAGGTGCTGGAAGTAAAGTTGTGTGCCACTATGACAGACCCTGAAGTTCTTTCTAAATACACTACACAATCAGAAGTCAGAAGACATACTTTGCCACAGGAAAATGTAAATTCAGCATGTGTATAAAACTGCAGCATATACAAAGTTCATTAAAAAAAAAAGTGAGATACAGCACAGTGGAATACTTTACAGAGGCAGTATACAGAAAGGGGACACCAACTTTCCAACAAATGTTAATGTCAAAAAAGTCCCAAACAGCTCACTACAGTGTTTCCCTGTGGACAATGAAAACAAGAATGATGAGTATACCCAATCCGTTTTAGGGCAGTTTGGTAATAGATTAAAAAGTTACTGATAACTAAAAGGTAGATAGGGAGGCAAAAGTCAAAAGCATTTACTGGGAAATACAGAATTGCAATTCAGATTCCTTTGAGGTAACTCCTGAGTTTGAGGGCACTGTAGGAAGTTACACAAACACTCTCACACACAAACACTCTCCCCGCCACAACATACAAAGGGTGTGTGGAGGTAGTTTACTAGCTAGACAGAAATTCTAAACTGCAGATGCATCCTGATTAGTTACTAGGGGCTTCCCAGCCAAGAGAGTTTCAGTGTCCAGCAAGCTTTTGGCTGCACCTCAGCAGGTATGTTCAGTGCTCACACCTTTTAACAGGTCTCCATGTTTTGTAGCTTTATTTCCTAGCATAGTACAACATATATCCTTATACATGGTCCCCATAAGCTCATAGGGAGTGGCATTACTGGAAAGGATTAGGACTTCTGGCCTTGTTAGAGGAAGTGTCACTCACTCTTCCTGACCATCAATCCAGATGTAGAACTCTTGGCTACTTATCCAGCACCATGTCTACCATGGCTACATGTTTCTTGCCATGACAATAGACTAAACCTCTAAACCTTTAAGCCAGCCCCAATGAAATATTTTCCCTTATAAGAACTGCTGTGGTCATGATGTCTCTTCACAATAATAGAAACTATCACTGAGATACCCTTCCCCAAGACTATGATTAGTAAAAAAGACAAATGTACAAAAATTCTTCTTTCCAGCAGAGTTTTTATTAGAGGAACTTTGGAAATAGGCCTGTGTTCATCAGCAAAAGTTTAGGTATTGATGCTGCATGAACCACACAACACATCCAACACCACAAAAAAACTGATTATATTAACATGGACACCTCTGCCCTAGGAGAGCTGTAGTATGGAGGAGTATTTCTAGAGACAGGCAATGAAGACTAAAGAGGAAAGCTGCTTTGGGCTTCAGTTTGTATCTATCTGCAAGACACAACTTCTCCTCAGGGCAATAAGGACTGAGGCTGAAGCTCTTCTGGGAGAAGTGAAGCTGGCCTTTCCTCTGGTCTACCAGTATCCCATTTAGTCTACCATAGTCACTCCGCAGCTGCTGCCAGTAGTGATGCAAGGGCCACAGACTAGACAGCATGCTTCAAGTACCCTGCTTCATTATGATGTAAGATGGTTATCTTCCTTCTAAGAAAGGCCTAACTGAACGAACCCCATGCATCAAAGATAAAGCCTTTGATGAATTTTTTCATTGAGGTTACAAGCTCTCCTGTAGAGGACAAGGCCAGACTTCCATGGAGCACAGAGGCGTTGGTTTGTCTAGGGTCTTTATGGAAGAATGCAGGCATTGCTTGTCTACAGGGAGAAAAGAGCTTTTCCCTTCCCCTCACTGTATCCTAATGAAGAAAAACAACCCCCCACATACACACACCAAAGGGTGTGTGGTGGCAGCTCACTAGCTAGGCAGAAATTCTAAACTGTAGCATGGTTAGTAGAGGCTTCCCATCCAAGAGATCTTCAGGTATGGGGACTCACCTGCTCCTTCAGAATGGCTCTCAAACTTCAACACTGGGTGCCAAAAACACATGGACAAATGTGGACACATGCAGCCCTCCAGCCTTGGGTTTGGCAATGGGCCTGGCAGATTTCCATTTTACATTTACCCATGTAACTCCTGAGTATTAGCCCCCACAGTGTGGGCTAGGGGTTTGCAGAAACCAGGAGAAAGAAATGTGTCATAATGAAAACTCCATTTAAAGTACTTTTTTTTTATTGATTTCGTTGAAAACAGAACAAGAAATGGTCTGAGCCAAAAGACTGCTCTTAAAACTGTCAAAAACATTTTAACAGAAAAAAATAAACATGACTGCATTATGAATGTTTTAGAAGAGTCACACAGACACACACACACACAAAACAAAAACAAAACAAAACAACAACAACAACAAAAAAAACAAAAAACACCCTCCCCCCCACTGTCGTTGCACTAATTACAGTATTTAGAAAGGTATATGCCAAAAAAAAGTACATGACCTGCCAGGCCATCACACAAAAGGTGATGGCAAATTTATTCAACTACAAGACTAACATTTTAAAAAAGTTTTTCCTGCACTTTATTCTAAAATCATTTTGTTCTCTTTTTACAGTTGATAGTTTATTTTCATGTGGTGAGTAGAAACCACATCAGATTCAGCACCGTTGTCTGTGTTTTGTGTTTTTATTCTTTGTTTTTCCTAATGTTCAGTAATGGTAGAAAACAAACGAGTTTATTCATCATCATAGCATGTGGCTTAGAAATCAACAAAAGGTGCCTGCATCAACGGAACTGGCTGGGGTTGGTACAGAGTCTGCCTGCACACACCAACCTGCTTCCTAGCAAAGAAACACCAGTGAGAGGCTTGATATATAGGGCGAGATATAGGATTTCTTTAAAAAGCAAACCCACATTTCATCAAAATGAGTGGTGGGTCAGCCAAACTCTCCAAGGCTGTCAGGGAGCTAGTGTCCTCCAGGGAGCTGGTACCAGAAACACAGGCTGTGGGCAGCAGGTCTAACGGAGCAGCTTGTAGGTGATGGTGGCCTTGGTGAGTGCCTTACAGGAACCTGACCAGACAGTATACAAATAAAACTGGCAGTGAAGCAAGGGCCTCAGAGACCAGAGGGAGAAATGGGAAGCGCTACAGCAACAGAGCCACCACCAGTAACTCACAAGTTATGCAACATGGAGTCCCGGGTCTCTGAGGTGCAGGACCAGACACATGCTCTGGCTTGAACACTGGGCCAGTGGAAATGACTGCCTCAGGCCCAGAACATTCTTGGGAGGTGTCCACACCTCTCCAGCTCCTCTTGGACATCATGTGCAGAATTCCCTCCTCTCTAAATTGCAGTCACCAGAATCTGATTCTGAGAATCCCACTGGCCCCAGTTGGCAATTCATAGGGGGTCAGCAGCAGCTGCAGAGCTGGTATCCGGAAGGCCATTCTCCTGAGCTTCCTGAGTTGCACTGGCTTGCCGCTGAGCCAGGGCTGCGCTTGAGTGCCGACACTTGGAAGAACCACACCGGCAACTGAAAAACTTGCCCTTGACGTCCCAAAAGCGTTCCCCGTAGTCGAACCTAGGGGAGTAGAACTCAGCACTTCTGTATGTTGGATATGGATGACAGGTGGGATATCCCAAGTGCCCCTGAGCTGTCCCATCTAGGTCCAGAACCCTACATGTTGGAAGCACATGCATTGCTAGGAAGGCAAGGACCACACCCACCCAGCCAGGGTCACATTGTGCCTGGGGTTGTACATACCCCAGCTGCTCCCCAGCCTGGATCAGGCGAGTACTGAAGAAGGCGATCCTAGGAAACCGTAGGTCCTGGTGTGACATGAACACGCGCACAGGCACAAGGTTGGGTTCGCAGTGGTGGTTTATGAACCGGCTGACATTCCCATAGAACCGAGCATCAATGCAGTACACCTCTCCATCCTTTGGGGTAAAAAAGCAAAAGGGTCCATGATAGGCTGCATCCAATAATCACTCCTTGCTCTAGAAACCAGCACCATACTCTTGAAAATCTGGAACTAGGCAGTGGCTCTGGCAGGATTAAAGAGCTTTCTTCTGTGGTCCACAGTGACAACTCAGGGCTCACCAAAGTAGACTTTTGTCACAGCCTGAAAGTAGACACAGGCCATGCTGTACTCAATCCAGCAGTGCCAGAGGTAGGAGCACAATGCTAACCTGAGACACAGACAAGTATAAGATTCTGAGTGTCCTTGTCCCACAAATTCTGCTTAGATTCTGTGGTTGTTTCTCAGCAGAGGGAGAGACTGTAGGATCAAACTTGCTGAGTAGGTTGTGCTAACTCTTGGACCATTTAAACAGTTTCTCACAGAGATCCTATGTATGAGAAACTATTGTGATATGATGAGTACTGCCTGGCAAATGAGGTATTTGAGGTCTCCAGATAAGTCTGCGACTGGCCACACTGCATATCCAGAGCTTGTTGCTATAGACTATCCCAAGTTGTGATGCTTAGGGTATGACTACTACACAACCACAGTATATAAAAGAGGAGAGTTAGAGAGGAAAGCCAGGTATACTGGAATGAAGAGAGTGATGAAGGGTTTATTGGGCCTAACTCTGTGGAGTATAAGCCCAAACAAGAATTCAGACAAAGGTCAAACCCAAACCAATCACGGGAATCCTGGGTCTGAGATGGGTATCTATAAACCTTCATTTTTTAACTTCAAGACTTGCAGGAGAAAACAGCGGTGGATATGGACATGGATAAATGTTCTCCAGTCATGTCCCTGAAGAACAGACCCTGTGAGAGAATTCAGCATCAACCACCCAGATCAAAGACAGAACAACCCATGTCCTGCATCTGCCATAAAGACAGTAAGAGACCCAGGTGTTAGACTTTTGAGACTCAACTTGTGTGGTGACAACCTAGGAAGTTACAGATAAAGCTTAGCCTCCAAAGAAAACAACTCTAAAAGCAGCCACTACACATGCTAAAGGTACTCAGGGCTGCGGAGTCACAGGGAAAGAGTCCTTGGGCTACTGGGGTAGGTGCCAAAGTCTATACACTGAAACTTCTGAGTGACCTGGCCCATATTGAAAGCAGATATCAAGCTGACTGGAAGACAGTTGGACAGAGACTAGAGCTGTAAACAAATAGCAAAGCTTAAATCTGAAGCTGGGCTAATTATTAAAAAAGTCCAGAAAACAACATGCCCACTTGCGGGACAAAAAAAGAAAGACAAAAACAAAACAGTTAACATTAAGAATACGAGGGCCAGGCATGGTGGCGTACACCTTTAATCCCAGCACTTGGGAGGCAGAGGCAGGCGGATCTCTGGGAATTCAAGGCCGGTCACTACAAAGTGAGTCCAGGACAGCCAGGGCTGTTACACAGTGAAAACCTGTCTCAAAAAAACAAAAATCAAACAAAAACCAAATGAGTACCATGTGTGGTAGCACACACCCTTAATTCCAGTGCTCAGAAGGCAGGCAGATTTCTGAGTTTGAGGCCACAGATTTGTTCCAGGACAGCCAGGGTTACACAGAGAAACCCTGTCTTAAACCCTCCTCACTCCTGAAACAGACAGACAAATGAAAACAGTGGTAGGCAGATCTCTATTGAGTTTGAAGCCAGCCTGGTCTAAATAGTAAGTTTCTGGACAGCCAGAGCTACATATTGAGACCCTGACTCAAGAAACAAACAAACAAAAAACAAGCAAATAAACATGCATGTAGTGAGAATTTTGGTTTTTTAAGAACCCAGTTATGTTATGTGAATGTTTTGTTTTAATCCAGCTGTGGGATAAGAGGTTGATTATAATTTGCCTCATGTAATAGCAGGGGTGTGATTTTTGCTCACTGCAGATAGTTTAATTCTGGGGACTCTGGAGAGGGTAGAAATGGCAGAGCCCCGTTAAGGCCTGTGACAGCTGCTAATCCCCGTGCTGCTGTTGGTTCATGTTACTGCATTTGCTATTGCTGGATTTCTGGATATTCTGATAAAGATTAGACTTGCTACAGGAACCTAATGACTCTGATCAGCAGGAAGCAGTTTAAGAGGTCTATGTTCCCTTTCCCCTCTAACCTTCTTTCTCACCCACACAGTGTTGTGGGGGTGGGGGTGGGGGTGGGGAAGAAATTGGAGTGGAGAAGGTGGTAGATTTAATACACACACACACACACACACAAAAACAAAACAAAACAAAAAAAAAAAAACAAAACAACCAAGAACAAAACCACTAAACACCTACACGAACAAGATTAAAAAGTCAGCCAAGTCTAGCTTGAGACAACCAATGCTACAAGAGAGAAGATTACAGAAACTGCTCATGTTCTATGTAACACAGAACAGAGTGCAGTCACGACAGAGCAGTGCAAAGTCTGGGCAACAAAAAGGAACTAATAAAAAGACTCAAGTGGGAATCTAGTGAGGATCTACTGGCTATTTAACCTTCTTCTGCAAAAAGGAGCAGGCCCAAAGAGGCAGCAATAAACCACTGCACAAGATGACTCATTCACATGTCATTTGCAAAAGTAGCAAAGATGAAATCAACTTCAATGTCCCCAAAAGACTAAGTGTTGATTTCTGTACTACACTGGCAAATGAAAAACGAAGTAGAAAAACTATACAACTTTCCACACAAACACAGACAAAATACATACCTTTATTCCTATAAATGGTTTCCATTTGGGAACAAGGGGAACAGTACCATGACTGTTATTCCCCTTAAAATTTCCTATTGGGAATCCTCACCCCACAGTGATAGAATCAACAGGATCGGGAGACAAGGAAGAATGGAGCTGACCACAGCTGAGGACAAAGCCTATCTGCACTCAGACTCCAAAGAGTTCCTTCTCACAGGACAATGCAAAGGTGCTGGCTATGAGCCAAGAGGTGGCCTTCACCAGCACAAAAGCTGGGAGAACAGGGTAAGTGGGTGTCAGCGTTTGTGACAGGAGCCAAAAGACCCCCGATACCTGGTAACAGAACACAGAAGATGTGTTCCCAGCTCCCATACAACTCCAGTTCCAAGGAATACCAAGGAATATGACACTCTCTTCTGACCTCCAAGGGCACCAGGCACACTCATGGTGCACAGAAATACAACACATGCAGGCAAAACTCACACACACAAAATAATGAATGAATGCTTTGGCAGAAGATTTTGTTCTATGAAATCCACACTACCACATGACACAGGGGTCTTTAAAAAAATGGGATTGCACTACACAAAGGAAACCTAGTGGTGCCAGAAAACATCAAGACAAGTAAGAGGCAAGAGGTCTGTGAAACCCAAAACAAGAGTAATGTGCATATTAAAGAGAGCTGTAACTGACAAAACATACTGCATACATTTTTTTTTTTAAAGAGGGAGAGACAAACCATGATCTACACCAACATTCAAAACAAAAGGGTGAGATGGTACACACCTGTAATTCCAGCACTTGGGAGGCAGAGGCAGGAGGAGAGCCACAAGTTCAAGACCATCCTAATCTAGATAGTAAAATCCTATCTTAAAACATACAAAGGGGAAAAATTTGAAACAACAAATTTCTTTTATATCTGGCATTTTTTCACCTCTGCCTCATTCTGGAAATGGGCAGACATATTGGCAGGACAGAGTTATCTGCATTCTCCCAAGAAAGAACAGGTGGATATAGGTGGGGAAACATCTTTATTTTCCTTTAAAAAAAAAAAAAAATTCTGGGCTGTGGAAATGGCTCTGTCAGTAAAATGTCAGGCACACTAAGCATTTGAGCTTAGATCCCTAGCATGGAGATGTGTCATTGTGTCAATAAGCCCAGTCTCTCCAAATCAAGAAATATGGTAAAAAGCAAGACATTTGATGCCAACATTTGGCCTTTCCACATACACGCACACAAACATACATACATACATATACCCCAAATATAGACTAAAATAAAAATTTTGTAAAATAAATGTGAATAGCATTAACAAAAGTCCCTAATGGTACAGAAATGTCAGGTAAAAGGGGAGCAGCCAAGGCTCACAACTACCACAAAGTTCCTTTAAGAACACTGGCTGGGAAGAATACAGTGCCACAAGCACAGGTGTCACTGGGTCTCAGGAAATAAGCACATCTGAGGACAGACATGTCCAGGTGGCAGGAACGCTACAGGGCAGTAACTGTCTTCAGCAGATGATGTGGAAGAATGCTGCTCTCCTTGGATGCAGTAAGTGTGAGCTCAGCCCTGACTGGCTCTGGGAACCTGCTCAGTGCAAAGGTACTTGGAAAAACTGTAGAAATGTGTGAGAAAGCTGGCAGCAGATAACCACCACCTTGTACATAACTGGGTGTGATGACAATGCCACAGTTGTGAAAATGGCATTACACAAAGATACACACTGGTGGAATGGAGTGAGGTGTTTTATTATTATTATTTTTAACACTGTATAAACAGAAAAGAAAGAAAGAAAAGAAAGAAAGAAAGAAAGAAAGAAAGAAAGAAAGAAAGAAAGAAAGAAAGAAAGAAAGAAAGAAGAAAGAAAGGGAGAGAGAGGGAGGGAGGGAGGGAGGGAGGGAGGGAAGGAAGGAAGGAAGGAAGGAAGGAAGGAGAAAGTAACAAGAAAAAAGAAAGAGAAAGAAAGAAAGAAAGAAAGAAAGAAAGAAAGAAAGAAAGAAAGAAAGAAAGAAAGAAAGAAAGAAAGAAAAGAGAAAAAGAAAGAAAGGAAAGAAAGACATGCTGAATCTGGTGAAAGTATGGAGCCCCTACCTCTGATTATCTTCATTCTTCTAGAGGTCAGAACATTCCCAGAGCACCCATCAAAAAAGAGGCTACCATGACTGTGGGAAGCAAAATACACCCCAAGAAACGGCAGCCAAGAAAAAAGGCTTTCTTTTTTTCTTGTCTTCCCTTTATCTTTTAAATTAGGAAAGGGCAGCAGAGAAAAATAAGGCCAGGAATACCTGTGTAAGGGAGGGTGATACTACAGATGAGACAGGAGGGAGCAAAATTTAGGAGAGAAGGAAGAATAGGGTAGGCCTGAGTGGGACAGACAGGATATGCTTGTTCAGCAGCAAGAGGAATATGGGTATTTCTAAGCAGCCGTGTTGTAACAGGTCCAGCAGGGGCTAGTGTGGTTTACTGGACATCCCTTTACTTGCTGTACAGAGTCACTTTTGTTCACTGGGATTTCACAGCACCTAACAGAACACAAACCATCCACATCTGCTAAGAGGGGAGGGAACATTCCATAGGGTCTGGCCAGTGTCTCAAAGAGCCAGAGGCTGACTGTGAGCCTATGGGCCTATAGCCCTAGGCAGGCAGAGGCTATTATTATCATCTAGAGATATTTCTGTCTAGAACTTCAAGCCTAGGCATGACTAGTGCTATATTTTAAAATGATCTTTCCACTTGGAAAAGCTTCTACCTTTGTACCAAAATCTCCTAGGGTGGAAGATGTGGTCACCCCTCTTAAGCACACTGTCACTGTTCAAAGAAAGAGCCTCAGCATGACCCAGAGTACTTCTGCAACTGTCAAGTGTACACTTCCTGGCCCAGAACACCACAGGCTGTCCCCAAGTTGGAGAGCCACTACCCATGACTGGATTCTTTACTAAAAACTGAAGGACAAAAGCACTAAAACATGTGTGGTCACTAACCAGTACCCAGCTCAGAAACTCAGAGGCCACAAGCACAGTCTACAGGACCCAGGGATTAAGGGCTTTCAACTCTGCCTTTGGAACAAGCAATTTTCTATACCTAACTTTGGCTTCAGCATACCAACTTCATGCCACCGCTGTTAATGCCCATCTTTTGCAGAACAGCGATAGTGTGGAGCTGCATCAACTTCCTTTGAATAGGCCTCATCCAGCCCATTTCTCCTGCTCAGAGCCTGTCACAGTCCTTATGTAGCTGCAGTTAGTCCTGAATTTCTTTGATAAGGACACACATACCTTAGCATGACCACAGGACATAGTGCACTTGAAGGGGCGTCAGGAATCCTGTGCCTAGGAATCCCAATGAAGGGGGAAAAAAATGTTGGTAGGTTCTGGTAATGGGACAGTAGATGTGGTCATGAACATGGTACTCATGTAGACATATTCTGGGGTATGGTCTGAGCAGGTCCAGCAAACAGAAGACTTTGGTATTCTCATAACTTTTATGTCCTCTGAAGTGAACAAGAGCCACTGACATAGTATTCTTTAAGATAAAAAATGCAATGGCAGGAGCTGATAAAAATGGTCACACACCAATGTGATGAAAGGAATATGGAAAAAGCTGTTGCTCTGCTTCTACAGCTGAAAAAAAGTCCTGGATACTGGCCTTATCCTACAACCAAGGATAAGATGGGGATGACCCTCCTAGGAAGTTTTGAAAGTGTTTGAGTACTCACGAGACTCCTGCACTAACATCCCCTGGTAGGGAAGATGTTTACCCTCAAACAATGGGTAAAGGGACAAAAGGCAAAAGTTACACAGCGTAGAAAGGGCAAATAAAACTACCTTTATTCATATAGCACATAATAGTGTACACAACAAATCCTAATCAATAACCCATGAAAAGTACCAAAATTAAAAGGCAAATATGGTAAGGTCAAGCAAAAAAAAAAAAAAAAAAAAAAAAAAAAAAAAAAAAAAAAAAAAAAAAGAAAAAAGGAAAAAAAAGAAAAAAAGAAAAACAAACAAACCACTTCAAAGTAAAGACTTAGTGGATTTGGACACCAATAGTTGAGTCAAGACTGCAGATCTGCAGGTGTGCAGACACCTTCACTGGCTGTCAGGTTTACCCAGAACCTGAAGTTCCAAGCACTAACACAATCATGAAAAGAAGAGTGTGCGGACTAATAGCCACCAAGGCAGCAACAGCCACCAGCTGAACTCTGCCACCAAGGGTACCAGTGTGAGAGTCAGAAATCAGACAAGGAACAAAACATGTTTCAGACATAGACAGGAGCATGGGAGCGACAAGTAGTGTCCTGGTCAATAGTGCCTGGATGACTACAAATCCTCATAGGCAGAAACAAGCCCAGCCCTCTCCTCAGACTACCCACCAAGTTTGACTCAAAGCAGGAAGAGATCCAAACACAGCTTCTATACAAAGACAGGATAGTTGCCATATATGCTGGGATTGAACCCAGGTCTTCGGAGATATCAGGCAGTGTGCTTAACTGCTTTGCTATCTTTCCAGTCTCTACAGCTAATTATAATGTAAGTCTTGTTTCACAAATGGTAAGTTCTTAAGTAAATTAAGGGCCTGGGGTCAGGGTGGCCCTGTTCTCTGGGGATAATACTGATTCCATGATTGGGTGGCTGCAATTAAGATTAGAAAACCTTTATTTCCTTAACCACTAGCACAGACTGTGAGCTTTGGGATGCATTTACTTACTATTTACTTGTTTTAAACAGGGTCTCACCACTTAACTCTGGCTGGCTTCAAGCTCACTGAGGTCTTCCTGTCTCAGCTCTCTCATACTAGGATTAAAGCTGTGTACTACCACAGCTTTTTAAAGAGCAGCTCCTGAATTCAGAAAGTGATAGGAGGAGGTGGTCTCAGCCATTTTCAACTGTCCCAGAAACCACTGGAAACCTGACTCCCAGAGCAGACCAAGCACATTAGTATCCTGAGGTCAAGAGAAACATATAGGACAACCTCACTGCCAGCATTTCTGGATCTCTTGCTGCTTCTTATACAACTCTATGAGCTGTCCCTACTGCTGGTCTCAGGGGACCAGCATGGGAGCTGGGGGAGACAATGAGGTATCCTAGGTAGAAGTCCTACTACAATAACACAGAAATCTCCCAAATTAGGTGCCTATGCCTTGAACACCACAATGAACCCAGAACTATGTGGTAAACTTAACAGACCTACAATGAGCCTACACCTACCAGCAGCATGGTGCTCATCGGAGTGAGTCGAGAGCTAGTTTGCCTGTGCCAGCCATTTTCCAGAATCCACCAAAACAAATTGTCCCAAGTTCTACAATATTTTTCAGTCATTTTCTCATATGCTTTGACCCTTCACAAGACATTACCTTATTATCAAGATCAAAGAGGTAAGAGTCCTCTTCCCGAACATCAGCTTCAGAGTCCGAAATCAGCTCCCCTACGTATCTGTAGTGAGAAAAGGGAAGACCCATCTCACCTCTGTGCCCTCAGACAAGGAACAGTGCCAAGAAAGAATGCAGACACAGGACACTCTGGAAAAGTTGTATGGCCTAAGCTGGGATCAGCAGTGCAAGGTGAGGACCAAGGGTGGTTTACCAAAGATACTAGTACTGTGCAGAACTCTGAAGCTAACACCTTTAGTGAATGACTTAGGTAGAAAATCTGAGCACAACTGTACAGCTAGCAGCAAAAACCTGGTGCAATCAATACCTCTACTGCCTTGTACCCCACTTCTGCAGAACAGTGGATCTTATGCTCCCAGGGGCTTCTTAGAGCACAAATATGCATGAGGAGTCCCCAAAATAAAAAACAAACAAGCAAACAAACAAAAAACACATCGACAGAGATGTGGAACTCTGGGAACCCACTTACTCGCAGACAAAGGTGCCCAGTGGGATATCCTGGAGGGAGCGCACACCCCAGCCCATGTCCTGTGTCCGATAAAGCTGCAGCCTTGCCCTGGAAAAAAGGTAGAGGGGAGGTGGACATGTACCTGATGGTCAGCAAACCAGCTATATCCATTTTGAAATGAGTGAGATGAGTAAACAGAAAAATTGTGCAGGTTCCAAATCAAGGAATATTGCTACTCTGCAGGTGACTTTGAGCAACTACAGTCACCTGACAGATCCAGCACCACACAGGAAGTTGAGAACCCAGGATTCAGACTATCGAAGATAAAGTATAGCAGCACTTGCCTTCCTCAAATGCAGCTGGCCTAATCCAAGAGTTAGCAGTGAAGACTAAAGGTATTCACCCCTTAGAAGTGTTTCTACTAGAATCCAGACTGCTGTCATTCTATTACTCAAGGAGTGTGCCTGCAACAAGCAGCCAGGCAGGCTCCTATAGGCCGCCAGGCTCGAGGTAGACCAGGCTTAAGGAATTCACCCATTCTTCCAGGCACTCTCACATCATGTTCATCTTATTGGCCCATTTGTAAATATGGTGAAGGGGGCACAGGCAGAGAAGCATGTACACTCTGTCCTTGGTACACCAAGAACAGACCACAACTACCAATGCTTAAGACCTGATTGTGGCTGTGACACAGGAGGCACTAAGCACCAGGAAGGAACACAATTGTAAGAGAAAAGCCATCAAACACCACCATTCTCAATGTTGTTTGGCTTTCTCTAACACTGAACAGAAAAGATTCAAGTGGTAAAACCAAATGAAACAAGCCTACTACTCATATCTAAGCAAGTGTACCTTGGCTGGTTGTTTACACACAAACACAAGCCTCTCCCCAACCCCCAACCCCCGAAATTGGCTTTACCCACAAATACACGTGCTTCTGGCCTAATGTGACTTAATGCATCTATATCTCTCACCTGAGACCATTTTGCACCACACGGTTGCGGCAGTTCCTCCAGCATGAGCAGGCATGATTGCACTCGAAGATCAAGGGTGGTTCTGCCATGTTAAACTCGGGCAGAAGTCGGCCATCCTATTAACAGATGGCCACAAGGGCCAGCAGATGTCAACCAGTATTTATTTCACAAGGTGCCCAGTCTGGCTTCAAATATACACAAACACAATGGTTTATAGAGACTATAACAGCTGGGCGAATAAAAGAGTTGGGCTCCACATCTGGTTTGAATGGTAATTTTACTGGGTATGATACTAGTTCAAGGGCCTCTTGGAGAGATCACCCCAGGTTCCTATCAGGTTATGCTTTTCTCCTAACCCCCTTGCCCTTCCCTGTCTCAAGTTGTTAGCAGGCTGCTCCTGGAGAACTCAGCCATACAGCTCTCCCTTTCTTCAACTCAGTTCTATCTACAGGCAACACACTAGGACCATGTGCACATCTGAGACTTTAGGGAATCTTTTGCACAAGTAGGACTTTGATGAGAATGCTCCTAACTGCTAAGCCCCAGCATAGACCATACCCCTGCTAGCCCCGCCCCTCTTCCCAAGCACAGTTCTTATTTGTGTTGTCCTCTCATTCAGATGACAAGCACTCCAATCCCCATGATCTATCTACTCTCCTCTTCTAAACAAAGAACATGATGCTGTTCCCCTTTGCGGCCTGCTTCCTCTTCACTAAGCACATCCCAGCATCCATAGCCTCTGAACTGAAATGAAGAATATGCACCTCCTCTTTCTGCATACTCTGTCCCTGAGCTGCATCCTGGGCTTCAAGGCTCTACTGCCTTACTTCGTTCTTACACTAGCACTGCCAGTTACTTTTAGGCTTGTGAGCTTCACCTCAGGCCACTGTGTCTAGTGATACTGCATCTAGCCTAGGCCCTGGCCTACTCTTTCTACTAAGTATCTCTTTGGACAACTGTATGTCAAAATATGGCAAGGCTCACCAAACAAAAACAACAAAGAAGTTTCCTCTGATGGCTATGGCAGGGCAGCTACTGTACCTCTGTCAGTGACAAAGGGCATTGAGCTCCAGCCCTAGCACCCTGTGAACTCCCACCTTAGCCCCACAATCCACTTGGAATAGCCCCTCGATTTCAGCCTATTACCTCCTCCTACTTGTTTTCCACAACCAGCTCACCTCAAACTGTCCCAAAGTCACTAGGACACCTTACAATCGGGAGACATGTTCATAGACTCACTCTCACAGAACTTACCACATGAGCACATGTGCAGCAAATATGCTTCCTCACCTTATCATACCAGCAGCGCATGCTGAGTTGGCCACACATGCAGGTGCTGGAAGAGCAGTCATCTACGCATACGCAGTACTAAGAACAGAGAGCACAGCATGTCAGACAGGCACCACATTCCTGCTCCCCTAATCCCTTCCTCCTTCCAATCACCATCAAATGCCCTGGAAGAATCTCAACTGCCTTTAATTTGCCATAGGCTCTCTTAGGAGCAGGGCAGAAACACTTGGGACATACTGAGAAGAATGCACCATGTTGACAGGGAGCAGGTGGGGCTTTAGATAGGTGTAGCCTGCAGGGGAGCTAAAAAACCTGTGCACTCAAGGCCAGACACCTCACAGGAAAGAAGAGAAGCCAGAAGCTCACAACCAAGCTAAGGTTTATATAGCTCATCTTGTGAGAATTAGGGGACTCCCATAAGCACAGCCATAGGAAAAATCCTTTCAAGTAAGTCTATTTAGCCAAGAAAAAGTCAGAGGTGGGAAAGTTGTTTGTTGGGTATAGTTGCCAGGACCAAGGAGCATGCAGTGGTCACTTCTTAGACCTGCACGGACCCTCCTGTTTACGACTCAAGGGCCAGATAGTATCACAGCTCTGAGCAACCACTGATCAGGGAGCACTTAGGGCCTTTAATAGGCTTTCAAAGCATGCTAGGAGAACCAGTGTGCTGCCTAATCCAGAACTGGACATCTCTTTTCTACTTCATTCCTGGGAGGCAAGTTCAGAGAGAACAGGATCTCCTGGGAAGCTGACACAGGCCTTCCAGAATGGTGCTAAGTCCTAGGACTCAGTTCTAGGGACCTGCCATCCCTTATCCCCACCAACCTGCAAATGAGTGATGTTCCTGTCAATGTTCATGGGGGAAGTCACGCAGTTCTGGGAGACGTACTTATAGTTGGTGGGACACAACTCACTATCCACAGCATTGACACAGGGAATGGGAATACGCTCATACCCTCGAGCAATGTCCCTGCACAGGAAAAGGGGGATGTTACTTGTGCTGTTTCAGATTCTGCCCCATGGGAGACAAAGCTCCTAACCAGTACCCACACTAGGCTGGATTCTGGGAGCCAGGCTTCATGTAGTGTTTGCTCCAATATCTTCCAGCCCACCTATAAATGGTTTACAAGAATCATCTCAGTCTTAGAACCTTCTCACCTGCTCACTGTCTTCTCAACAGCAACAGGCTTGTCAGGGGCTGAGTCCCGAAGTGCTTTGCTCATCTGCAGTGCACTCCACACCTGGGAATTGAGGCTTGCACACTGCAAGGGAGTCTCTCCTTCCTTGTTTTTTAGAGTAACATCTGAATCCCGAGAAAGAAAGAGGCTAAAAGGGAAAATGTAAGCCAACAAAGCTTCCAGATCTGAATTTAGAAGAGACACAGTTAAGACCCATAAAATGACTAACAATCTGTCATATAGCACCCAACTTACTAGTTCAGTGACTCTGGAATAAAAAATGCTTCCTTAGGAGCACATCTGCTGCCCCCTATATTTATAATGAGGCATCAGTTTTCTCACCTGAACATGTGTGTAGGAGCTAAGAATGCTTAATTTTTCTTAAATTTTGTTTTCAAATTTGCCCTTAAGGATAAAGAAAAATGATATGGAGAAAAGGTGTTTGGGGTATGCTGAAGGGCAGCATAGCACATCTGCCTGATGAAGTTAACAGCTGGTTTGCCATACCTGGGCTAGAGTTGAAAGTGCCACAAAGTCACTTCATCTCTCTTTCCAGGTGAAGTAGTATAGTAACTGCCCTCCTTCTCCTTCCAAAGGAACGTGGCAGAGATGCTACACCACGTAGACATTGGTGATACGTAAAAAAACAAACAAACTGTAAGAAGGCCTTTCTGCTAACAAAGGGCACTAAGCAGCCAGTTCCATCTGAGAGGGAAAAACAAATAGCACGCAGTTCCTCCTGGAACCTATGAGTCAAAATGTCCTCATACTGTTGGGTCCAAGATGTTGTCAAGATTCAACTAAGAATTTGGGTGGGTTTTTATGTTTGTTTCTTTCTGTTATTTATGACAACTATGAGTCCAAAGGGCACCATTGTTAGTCTGAGATGTCAACTGGGAAAAACACTTCACCTATATTGCATCAGCTCTAGGTAGAGCGTGGGTACAGTCATTTAGCAGCCACCCCTGGTAGGCTGGCAGCAAGAGCTATATTGGCACAGGACCACACTCACACAACACAGTCGTAGCGATTCTCCCTGGCTGCGATGTGCAGGGGTGAGTCTCCATGGATATTCACAGCATGCAGGTCACACTTAGCAGCCAGAAGTATTTCAGCTATGTCCACACAGCCTGAAAATGCTGCCCAGTGCAGACAAATGTTCTCCTCCTGCACAGAGATAAAATTGAGAGCCCAGTGAAGATTGCTTCTGGCTTATAACACAATGCTGGGATCAGGCAAAACTCACTTTTGTACTTGCATACAGCTGTTATTCCTAGCACAAGCTATACTAGAGAAGGGATTTGTAGTTTTAATGAACAGAAAACAAAAATTCTATCTAAACTGCAGCCTTTATTTACTTTTGTTTTTCATTTTAAAAGTAATATAATGTAGGGTTAGGGAGATGGCTCAATGGTTAAGACCACTTGCTTCTCTTGTAGAGCCCAGGAGACCTGAGTTTGCTTCCCAAAACCCATACGATAGTTCACCTTTAACTCCAGTTCCAGGAATCCAACAATCATACACACGCATGCATACACACACACACATATTCACTCACAATTAAAAAAAAAAACTAAGGGGAAAAAAGTAATATAATCACTATAGTCTATTTTGAAAATAGAATAAAAACACAAGATTATACCACTTTGAATAGGAGCTTTATAATATAACATATAGCATACTTTTCTTCTTATTTTTAAAAAGTAAAACCATTCAATAACCTAAATTTGATCCCTAAAGCTCACATAAAGGTGAAGAAAAAAAAACTAAGAAAATATTGGCAGTTGATAACTTTTGAGGAAGAATCATTCTCAGTAGAATATGGCACCTGATAGGTCAACCACACACTGCAAGCCAGTGATGGTAGCACTGAATTTGGTAGGTTATTTGAAATAAAATGGAGGACATTAAGTTAGAAAGCGGTGAAGAGGTAAGTAGATCTGAAGAAGTCAGGTGGTCAATACAATCAATTACAAATCAAATTGAGAAATTTATGGAATTCTCAATTAATAAAATAGTAAAATATTTTCAAAAGCAGGAGCTGAAGAGATGCCTCAATGGCTGAAAGTACTTTGTTGTTCTATCATGAGGACTGGAGTCTGGCTCCTAGCACCCACATAACAAGCAAAGCATCTATAAATGACTGTAAGTCCAGCTCTCAGGGATTTAACATCTTTGGACTCTGAGGACACACACAAACATTTTAAAAACTCACTAAGTAATACTTACTTATATTCTCACATCAGGACACCATAGCAACAAACCCCTGTCAATCTCTGCCCATCCTATGCTCACCATCCCTCTGAGGTCTCATTTCAACTGGGCCTGCAACTACAGCTACACATTATACAGCCTTAGTACTTTTCCTGTCCACTGAATGAACAGCCCACTTCACAATTAACTTTAATTTATTGAGTGCTTCTGGTTTCTCCTCTGGATTCTTATTCTTCCCTTTCCCTCTTCTTTTTCTCTTTCTTCTGGATTAGTTCTTCTTCTCAAGTTTAAACCCTCAGAGGTAAAAATTTTTGGCTATAGATATAAAAAAGATTGGTTTGACGTGCCTTCTCCCCTGTGAACAGCTCATTGTGGCTTCCTTCCCCTCGGGAACACAGCCATAGATAAAAGTGTAGCCTGACCACCTGGAGAGCATGTGCAGTGAAAGCCATCACAAGACACAAAGCATCATATCTGCCTTCTTGGGCAAGACGACAATGCCAAGCCATATCCCAAGGGCACATTCTGCAGGCCCTCAGGGGTCACATCCTAACACTCTGGTGCTCTCTGACAGTTGAACAGTCCCCTTCCAATGTCCACATGGTAAGGTAGAACCAGGGATTTTCAATTCAATGACCACTTGAAAACAAAAACAGAACAGAGACAGCCTATCAGTCTCACCCCTAACTGCCCCAAGCACATTTATTTCTAAAGGAAAAACTAAAAGCAAACTGCTAGTCAACATTAGCATTCTGTCAAAAACCTTAGCTATCTTGAATTCTTTTCTAGTTGCTGTTCTCAGTGGTTTTCGGGCCTCTGATTTTACTTGGTTACAGCCCCCACACATCTGAGAGCTCAAACAAAGTCCTGCCTCCTCAGGGCCTTTTTTCTTATCAGAATGTTCTTTGCTTTTTAGCCAGAATTACATTGTTTTTAAATTCTAAGATCTCACTCTTAGGAGACTGCTTACTTCTGTAGAGCCACAGTGCTGGACTGACCTTCTGAGCAGTTTTACTTTCACAATGGGGGTGGCACTTTCTGCTTCTACAGGCCAGACTGAACATTCCCTCCCACCAATGAAAAAATGTGAAAAGAATACAGTGTAAAATCATGGTTACTGATTCTACACAGGAAACAGAAGATACAGACAAGGGAGCTAGAGTTGCTACTCAGTCAAAAGCCAGAGAAAACAGAGCAGATAACAGAGCTACAAAGGTCTGTTGAGAATGGGCTCCCACAAAGGTTGTCATTCTTTTAGCCAGGCGGGAAGCACCATCAGCCTGCAGACCATAGGTAGGACCCACTGTGACAGCCATCATCTTGCATTGAGAATGGCAGTAGGCTCACTAGAGCAGACTAGAGAACAAAACCAACATAATGAGACAGACATCATAACAATGACTCACAGAAACAGAGCAAGAGTCCTGACAGCAAGGTGTAAGTAAGCTGCTTCAAGCTCCTGGCACACCAACAAGAGGTAAATGACCTCCGACCAGTCACAACTGCTATGGATACAGAGCTAGCAATCTGGCCATTAAGCACCTGGTAACTGAATCCCACACACTCAAAAGGTAAGAGATGCGGTACAAATTACAAACAAAACCCCTCCACTGACTTCCCACCAATACATAGCAACGAAAAACCCACAGAACTTTGTGAGCTGAAAACCATGTTTAAGGTAAAAGAAATTAAAAAAATAAAAAGGAGCAGTATATTAGAGGCCATAATAAAACCAGTTGGCCAAAAATTAGGGTGGAAAGCAGTTTCTAGAAGCTGACAAGACTATTCAAGACCATCAAGACAACTTCTTACAATCTAGTTCACATCATCTGAAGAAATGACAACTAAAATTCAAAATTTGACAAAAACCCTAAATCACAGTTCTAAGATAACTAATCAACCTACACATACACAGAGATAAGTAACACCAAAGCACATCACACAGTCTTCAAAATAGCCTGAAAGAAAAGCCTATGTTACACACAAAAACACAAGAAAAAGGCACAACAGTTTCTGAAACATCTTAGTAAGAACTCTGGGAAGCAACATGCACACCATTAAACCCACTGACCAGAAAGAACTCTACACCAACAAAAGCATCTTCCAAATATCTTTGGCAAATTAAAGACTGCTCTGCCACAAAGAGGTGAGGAGCTTAGCATGAGCAGCAAGAGGAAGCAGGAACCAGATGTCAGTTAGGGTGGAACAGCCACCAAACCATGACTGTCACTCTTCCCAGAAAGCAGGGACATGAGACCAAGGCTCAGGACATACTCACAGAGAATGTGGGGAAAAATGACCTTGAGTTTGAGGTGAAAGATGAAATAAAACAAGGCTCCTCTGCCACATGTGCTGCTGAGGCCTCTGCAAGGATGGACAAAGTTAGACCTGGTAATTTGTCTATGAGAAGATCTTGATAGATCTCCTGTCAGCTCTATGAAAAAAGAATGGCTTTCTCCACTTCAGTACTGGCAAATGTTTACATGAAAAAGAAGAAGAAAAGGAAAAGAAAAGAAGGTGAAGAAGAGCCAAGTGGTGGTAGCACATGCCTTTAATTCTAGTCCTCAGTAAATAGAGGCAGGTGCATCTCTGGTTTGAGACCAGCCTGGTCTACAAAGTGAGTTCCAGAACAGCCAGGTTTGTTACAAAGAGGAACACTGTCTCAAAAAACTTTCCACAGCTCACACCATCTACAAAAAATTGATTCAATAGACCATAGGCCTAAATGCAAAGCTAGAAATTAAATGCAACTCTAAAAACACAGAAGAACATCACCTTCAGTTAAAGCAGTGATTTGTTGTTGTTGCTGTTTTTGTTTGTTTTGAGATAGGGTTTCACTCTAGCCCAGAATGGCCTGGCTATACTTGTAACAATGCACCTGCTTCAGCTTCATTAAGAAGCACAAGCCATCATGTCTACCTAAGCAATGGTGTCTTAAATAATACAGGAAGCAGAATCCAAACATATACACAAAGATGAGCAATGTTTGTACCTTTTCAAGCCAGTGTGGTCTATATGCAGCCAAAGCTACTCAGTGAAATCCTACTTCTTTTTATTTGTTGTTTTGTTTTTTTTTTTTAATACAGGGTTTCTCTATGTAACAGCCCTGCTTGTCCTAGACTTGCTTTGTACACCAGGATGGTCTCGAACTCAGAGAGATCTGTGTACCTCTCTTTCCCCTAATGCTGGGATTAGAGGCATGCGCCACTGTGCCAGATTGAAATCCTACCTTAAGGAGAAGGGCAAAACAAAACAAAACAAAAAAACCCAAACACCTGCCATGAGTTAAAGTTCTGAAAACATCCTTGACCAAAAAGCATATTAAACAGCAAAAAAGCCCACAAGAAGATGATGTTAACATCAAACAGCCATTACACAAAATTAAATGAGGATTAAAACCACCAGAAGCCAGAAACAGCACAACCACTCTGGAGCCAATGTGGTAGCTACTCTGGATAGTTTCCATAGTTTCCATTTCTAGGATTCAGTCAGGGCACAAATATTAATAACTGTAATAGCAATGTGTCCACCAACAAAGGGTCAGTAGATGGCCACATAGATATACATTTCAAGCAAGAAGAAAGAACCACCAACAGAGCATAAAATGAACCTGGACAGTCACTTCCACTGAGAATTAGCCTCCATTTTGATAAAATCATGACAAATGGTAGGATCCAGAAAGAAGGCCAAATGTGAAGACCCCTCCCCCAAATCTAATACATAAGTTAAAAAAGAAGAAAGAGAGAGAGAGAGAAAGAAAGAAGGAAAATACACAATAAAACTTAAAAACCTCAGCAGCAGCCAGGCAGTGGTGGCACACTGGCCTTTAATCACAGCACTCTGGAGGCAGAAGCAGGTGGATCTCTGTGAGTTCAAGGCCATCCTGGTTTACAAAGATAATTCCAGGACAGCCAAAACTACAAAAAGAACCCTATTTCAAAAAACCAAAATATAAAACACAACAACAACAAAAAATTCAACAGCAACCTAAAACAAAACCAGATGGCCTGTGAAGAACGGCTAGATTATGGATGGACTAATATCTCCCGCTAGGGTAACTATACTCAGCCTGGTTCTTAAGTACAATTCATTGAAGTGATAGGACCTTTTCATGCTGTACTGGACCTTGGAAATGTTTCTTTTTTAGTTTTTTCCCAACTTGAATTTGCTTAGAATGGACTGGGATAGCCCTTAAGAAATTCTGTCCCCTCTCTGTAACAAAGCTTCATTATATAACTCTTGAATAACTTGCAGATTTGGAAAAGCATCTGGAAGAACAATAAAAATAGCAGTTAAAAGAGTTTGAATGAGGGCACAGTGCATGGGTGGGAAAAGGCGTTCTTGGAAGCCCTAAGGCTGCTTAATGAGAATCACAGGGCCAGAAGTAGACTGCATCCCTAGTTGGGGAGGCTAGGCCCCTAAAAGCCACAAACATAAAGACTATTTCTATAGCTGTTAGTTGCACACCAGAACTAGCTGCTTGGTTTTTGTCAACTTGGCACAACCTAGAATAACCTAAGATCAGATAATTTCAGTTAATTCCTTATAACTTCATCTGATCAGCCTCTGGTCAAATCTGTTCAGCAGTTGTCTTGATTATATTTAGAGGGCCCACCCCAATAAATTCACTGGTTTCCCAAAGTAAACTCTGCTGGAATCATGTCCCCTTAGAAAAAGGAGTAGACATTGCTTGCATCTCCTCTGAAAAGGAATTTTAGCAACAGATAGGTACAATTGTTTCTTTGGTCTGTTATGAGTACCCTATCTGAGATGAACAGACATTTGTTCAACTATCCCCAGAAAAATCACATATTATCAAGATGGATAACAAAACTACTTCTTTGCCTACTCTTATTGTTTCTGGGCAAATGAACTGACTCCATACAACTCTGCATCCACAGAATATATTAAATCAGTCTATTCATATGTCTTTTTCTTTCAGACCATGGCTCCTACAAGAGATCTGGTTCCTAGTGACCTTTCTTGGACTCCTCCACCAGGTCAGTCAGGGACATGAGCCAGGAGCAAAGAATAGGGCAGTGATTCACACAAGGTATGTACCCCTACAGAGGCCGCATTTGTTTGAGTAAGTGAGATATTGACTACAAAGGACCAAAACAGCCATCATGTGCTAGAACTCCACTTCAGACATCAAAGCCCTTCAGAAGAAGGAAGCCTGGAGCCTCTGGCCTTCTAAGAGGCTATGTCCATAAGGTTCCTAAACCACCATGAAAAACTCACATTGTCCCGGATATTGATGTCAGAACCTTTAGACAGCAGCAGCTTCACCAGGTCCACGTGCTTGTACTCAGTGGCCCAGATCATAGGTGTCCAACCACCATCATCCTGAGTGTAAGAGACAAAAGATATCACCACCACAGATAGGAAGTGAGAAAATAACTTCATGCAGCTTGCTCAGGGGCTAAGAGTCCTCAGAGAACTGTTTTCTGACAAGTCAAAGCCAGGAAAGGCACAGTCCCTTTGTAGTAGGAGAGGTAAGTTGCTCGGCTGACCTTTCTGCTCCAACTAACACTGCTGTCAGGACTAAACACTTAGTTAGCCTGACCAACCCAGGAGGACTCATAGCAAGGTTTGTGGGAAACATGAATAGAATGCTTTCACTCATGCTCTCAGCCTTTTGATGACTAAGCATAAGACCGATCAGCAGATGAACTAATAAATATCAGGTACAGAGGTAATTGTCACTGCCTCTTTTCAAAGGCCAGAGGAAGAAAGACCAATCCTATCTCCTGAGTCTATAGGGTTCATTAAGGACCTCAGGAATTGCTTTCCCATCACTATGGCTGAGATCAACGCATGTTAAGTAGTTTCATTTAGACCAGAAAGGGTATTCTGCAGGACCTGACTGTTCTGTGGCCACTTATCGGTCTGGAGGTGGGAGATAGCCTCCTTCCCAACAGCTCCAAAGGGCTTCCTGTACATCCACACTTGCATGTCATTGTAGACACACATAGCTTTCCTCCACAAATAAAGATGATCTCTCCCTGTAGTCAGCTAGTGGCAACATCTGAGACAATGGTGACATAGGGTGACATTAGACACATACATGCTGCACAAATACCAGCCTAGAATGACAAGGAATGGAATGCCTCACAGTGACCCAACAGGACAAATAAATATATAATGCTAGTGGCAGTTAAAATAAATCAGACCATGCTATTTTTAGATAATGAAAAAGGAAGGAAGGGGCTCAACTACAAGCTGCTATTTTCTTGTCTATGTGGCAGGAGATCACAGACAAGATGTAGAAGAGCAAGGTCTAAAGCAAAATGGCAGGGCTAAGATGCAGGGACATGAGGGAGATGGAAATGCAGCCCCAAACCAAGAATCAAAGGGCCCTACCATCATGTGCGTGAAACAGTCTTAAAGCTAGTAGGTCTTCTTAGATTGTTTGCTAGACTGACATGTCTTTATAGATGCCTATTGTGTGCCTAACGCCAATAAGGCACACAGGTCACAGAACTGGTGAAACACCTCCTTATGATGGTGGGGGAGGCTGGTCAGTAAACAACAAACCTAGTAAGACAATGGACAGTGCTAAGGAACAACTAGATCTAGGAGGAAACCTGGATTCCCTCAGGGAGGACAGAAGCTATCCTGGGCATGGGAGTTTGGGAAACACTGAATAGAGGTGAGGAGGCCTAACAGAATACCAAGAATGGAACCATCAGACTAGTACTGCAGAGAGGCCTTACAAAACAAGTGGAGAATGTGAGAATGAGGCCTATGCTGGCCACTTCTTTAGTCTACTTAATATAGGCTAGGGTCAGCTGGGAAGAGGGAACCTCAACTGAGAAAATGCCTCCATTAGATTGGTTTTGTAGACAAGTCTGTGAAGACATTTTCTTGTTTCATAATTGATGTGAAAAGGCCCAGCCTACTGTAGGCACTACTACCGCTGGGCAGGTAGTCTAGAATATATAAGAAAGCAAATTAAGCAAGCTATGGAAAGCAAGCCAGTAAGCTGTGTTCCACCATGGTCTCTGCTTCAGTTCCTGCCTCCAGGTCCCTACCCTGACTTCCATCAATGAAAGAGTATAACCTGTAAGATCAAATAACCCCTTCCCTCCCCAGGTTACTTTTGGCCAAGGTGTTTATCACAGAAACTGAAAATAAGATAAGGCCTTTTGGGGCTTGTGGGCCTTTAAGCATCTGAAATCAAGAGGAGATATGTGAAGAAGGTGGTGGGAAAGCTATGCCACTGAATAGGGAAATGGCTTTACCTGGCAGTTGACATCCATCTGTCCATTTGAAAGCAGATACTGAACCACATCATAATGGCCTTTCTTGGCAGCCAAGTGCAAACATGTGGAGCCCTCTGCGTCCTGCAATACAAATGCCATTCAATGCAGAGAAACCACTCACAAGTTGTTGTTGGTGCAAACCACAGAGAACTTATACTCCCAACCAAAAGGACGTACTGTCAATGAAACCACTCAACTGAACCCAAGCTAAGAGGACCAAGGTCCTGTCTCAAAAGCCCATTGGCTACAAGAGCCAAGTCCTTAGTCCCAACCCTTAGGTTGGAAGAAATCCCGCTTCAATCATATGTACCTACATAATATGTACATCCTGATGAAGAACTTGCCCATTTCTACCCACCCTGAACTAGATGACCACCAAGGTACTTTTCATAATGAACATGCTTTGCCAGCTCCTGCCAGAAACAGTTCTAAGATGAATATGAGGCCTATCCAGGCCACAGTTGCTCCTTAAAGGACTTTGTACTCTGGAGAGCTAACCATGGTCACAGAGCACAGGAAAATAGAGTGGATTAATCAGCCATCCACAGATAATTTTAAACAAGGTGAAAAGAACAGGCAGCAAGCAAGCTTGCCGTACATATACAATTCAGCCATATTACTGCTTTTGTATTCTTTGGTGCTGAGACTATTTCATTAGCTTTTGGTTCTGCTCCCTCCTGGATTCTACACACATCATACTACCTCACAAAAATAGTAACAACGACAACAACAATAATAATAATGGAAGACACTGACAAAGAAGCTTCAGGACAGGCAAATAGCTCTACACAATAAAAAAACTGAGTATAGCCACCAGGCCAGGCATTGCTCCCCTGCTCCTGTTTTCACTGATCACAAGGATCATATGGATATACTGACCATTGTTCTTAAAAGACAATGCTCCCTTTCCGATTTTTGTACTGACTTTATGTCTATTACCTTTCTCTCTCAGAGTCCAAACATTTATCATTAGACACACATCAACAAATGTGATGTATTAATAAGGATGTCCATCTTTCTCAAGAGGAATCTGCATCCCCAGTTCCATGTCACTGACATTGAGAATTGACACTGGAAGACTTCTGCAGGTTTTAAGAATAGTGATGTAGCTCACCAGTTAAGAGCACTAACTGCTCTTCCAGAGGGCCTGGGTTCAATTCCCAGCACCCACAACTGTCTGTAACTCCAAGATCTGATAACCATAGACATGACATACATGCAGGCAAAACACCAATGCACATAAAAAAAATAAAAATAAATAATTAAAAAAAAATAGTGATGACATATATGGCAGAAAGAACTGGTAGCTAGCTGAACTACTACAGAGCAGAAAGGCAGGCAGACACTTGCATGCGCGCATGCACCACATACACACACACACACACACACACGCACGCACGCACGCACGCACGCGCACCTGTGCAGACTGGAGAATAATTTATGCAAAAGAAACTCACTGAACTAAGATATGAACTTAGCAAATAGCAGGGATTTCTGGCAGGGATAAGCTTCTGGTATACTGTTCAGAGCAGTCAGTAGTACAGTCTACAAGTACAACTGAAGTTTTTATCACACCAGCCATAGACACACCCACAAAGCTTCCTTCCCTTTTCATCCAACCCCTCAAGAACAACGGCTCTTAGTATCTGCTTTTTGATGTATGTGAATATGTCTATAATCCAACAGCAGGAACCCTGAATAATTTATAATACTGTACGTCATTCCACAGGTCCTCTACAACTCCTTTTTAGGCCAATGTTAAAAATGACATGAAACACTCATTTGTTATCTTTACTTTTTTTTATTTGTGTATGGATATTTTGCCTGCATGCATATCTATACCACATACCATGGAGGTAGAAAAAGGTAGCAGACCCCCTGGGACTGGATTTACAGATTATTTTAAGTCAACATGTAGGTGCTGAAAACAGAAAGTGATTCTCTGGAAGAGCAGCTAATGCTCTTAGATGTGGAACCATTTCTCCAGCACCTCATTGTTTGTGTATAGCTGAGATAAAATTAACCCTAGATTCTACATCCCTAGCTGAGGAACATACAGCTATTTCTCATTTCCTGCTGTTTAAAAATATGTTAAATAATACAACGTTTCTTTCATTGCCTGTGGTAGGGTCAGCCACATAAGAATTATCAGGATCCCGCTTTACTGGTATGACAAGCCGCTATCCAGGAAATGGCCATCTCCCCCACATGTATGAACATGTGCATACAACTCTATACCTTCTCAGGTATTTTAAACATTACAGTGCTTATCTTAATCAGGTTTTAAAGGCTGAGTACTTTTTTACATTTAAAATTGTTATGTCATCTTCTATGGGCTAATTACGTTCTCAATTTTCTTTTATGTAATCACAAAGATAATCTTTCTGAAAGTTCTATCAGTTCACTTCCTCCTCTCTTTTTTTTGTTTTGGGAGGGGGGGGCTTTTGGAGGCAGGGTTTCTTTGTGTAGCTTTGGCTGTCCTGGACGCGCTTTGTAGACCAGGCTGGCCTCAAACTCACAGAGATTTACCTGCCTCTGCCTCCCAGAATCAGTTCACCTTCTAAATATTATCTTCAAGTTTATAATCTGCATAGTGCAAGAGTCTCTCATATCATGTCTATCACCATTCTAATATACCACTGTTGGTTGTTATGGGTGTTGTTTGTGTATATACATGTGCATTTCCCATCAGAGTTCAGTCTGCAGCCATGACTACTGGTTTAAATATTTTCCACATTCTCTATTTGTCTGATCTGGTTAACACACTTCCTGTATGGAAGCTACATAAACTTTTCCCAGATTCCACTTTACTTTCTTCCCTACTAGCATTTTTTTTAACACTGTATTTCTTAGCATTTTCTCAAAAGAATACAATATTTATCTTTAATAAAATCCCATATTGCTCTGGTGGAGGACCTGAGCTCAGTTCCAAGCACTTGCATCAGGTGGCTCATAAGACGTATAACACCAGCTCCTAGATGCCCTCTTTGATTCTTCTCAGGCACCTACACTCACATGCACATACCCACACAGAGACACATCACATATTTAAAACAAATCTTTAAGAGTATCCATTAAATTAGCATAATTATTAACTACATTCTATTTACCCTCATACTCACAGTAGTTCTCACCCTTTATCAAGAAAACTTCTCTTTGCAGAAGATGGAGACTACTACAGAAAACCATAACAAATGCAGAGTTGTAGAGCCCAGTCCCAACTGATACATCCACAATACAATGTAAGGCTCAGAAAAAGGGATGGAAAGATTCTAAGAGAACATGAAGTTTGCTATGAGATTGTGTTTCCTAGCTATGTCAGAGAAGTACATCCATGAAGTCTTAACAACACAGCTGCCAAAATATGAATTAAACAAGGATGACACCAGTAGACATTCTAATGGTTAGGGGAAAGCTGTCAAGGACTCAACCCTAGAAGAAGAACTATTAGAAATGGTATTTCCCAGAAAATAGCCCAAAAATTGGCTAAATAGCAAAAACCTATACAAGCAACATACAAACTGAACAGGTTGTCTTTATATACTTAGAAATATATATGTATATTATACATTACATACACACGTATGTGTGCAATTAAAGAAAAGGAAGCCATGAATTTGAAAGTAAGTGTATATGTGTGTGTTTGGGGGGGGGGGAGTCTGAAGGAAGGGAAGGGGGAAAATGATGAAATTATATTACTCTCAAAAAAGAAAAATATTTTAAAAAGCATTATTCATCTCTTATTTAACTTAAATAGTATTTTGACATCCTACAATAAAATAACCTTAAAAATGGATTCCATTTGTACATTATCTGTCTCTGTGTTATTGCTGGTGTATAATTATTTGTAAATCTGTATAAACTCCATCTTATGTATCCTTGTTTTAAACAGCCTCTTGTCTTTTAAAGAAAAGAGTCTGGAGGCAGGCATGCTGGCTACACCTTTAATTCCAGCACTTGGGAGGCAGAGGCAGGTGGATTTCTATGAGTCTGAAGCCAGCCTAATCTACAAAGTGTGTCCAGGACAGTCAAGGCTCTTATACAGAGAAACCCTTTCTCGAAAAACCATTTAAAAACAAAACAAAAAAAGCAGGCTCCAGCTCAGCATCAGAGAAAAAAATAAACACAAGGGAAGAAAGAAATAAAAAGTAAACAGGCCCAAGTGGCTAACCAAGCAACCAAAAAAATCTGCCCGACAGAAACAAAGGAAAGTCTGGCCTCTAATCAAGTAGAAGCCATAATTGTGTATCATGTCTTTCAGTGACTCCAGTCTCCCTTATTGTACAATCCCACTCTTCTTTAATCTAGGATAATATCTTACTGTGTTCTCAATGAAAGTTTTTAGTAACTAGGAACATTATAAAAAGGGGATCCCACCTCATTCCATTTTTACATGTAAATGATTTTTTATAAAAGTGAGATCATTCAGCAGGTGTTTATGTTGTGATACAACCAGAAAAGACAGTGGGGTGCTGAACGATGGGAGGTTGTGACTGCTTTAGGTATCAGCCTAACATTACATGTAGGGGTAAATTTTACATCTTACAATTCAAAGCATTCTTAATGGTAATTTGGAATCTCAGTCATACACTTAATGTATCTCAAGTCTTTTAAATTACTTTCAGTCTCATGTTTTTAAAAACTTTCCCTTTTTTTAAAAATTAAATGAATCACTTCTTGGTTCTTGTCCATGCAAAACTGTGAACCAAGCAGGGTGTCATGGTATGAGCCTTTAATCTTTCCTTGGGAGGCAGAGGAGAGAAGATCTCTGAGTTTGAGGATAGTTTGATCTAGTTCCAGGACATCAGGACTACACAGAGAGACCCAGTCTCCAAAACAAAAACAAAACAAAAACAAAAACCAGCCAACCAACCGACCAAACAAACAAATAAAAACTAACAAACACAATAACGAAAAAACAAACAAACAAACAAAAAACTCTACAATTTTAACATCTCTAATTGTGGTGGTCAATTTTCACAATGTGCTTTGAAAGAAAAAAAAATCTGAGTATATAGCATAATGACAAAATAAATATGAGAAAGTAATGATGCTATCATTTAATAATATTATGTGAGATC